TGCATATGAGATCTCTTAGGTATGAGGGTTCTATTAAAATGTAATATATGATCTTAATGGATTTTTAAGTTTAAGTAAATGGTATCAATATGAACTACGCAATTATCAAATCGTTCTTTATGTAAGTTCAACATGTGATCGATTTTTATCGATTGCATTCTCTATCAGTGTTTATAGATTAACAAATATCAACGTAACTGCTACAACTCTCCAATATCAGCAGAGACCTTATTCCATAGCTAGTCTAATCATTTAGTCCAATATTCTGATATCCCACTCCAAAATTTTTCTAATTTCCGGACAATGTCTCTCAAACTCATATTTCATATCTTCACATCCCAAACCATTCTATTTGCTCGCGAAACAGGGTATACAGATTACATAGCTGAGTTTGAAACTGTGCGGACTTAGGGCTTCGTAAAACGCATGGCATAAAAGACGTTTGCCAAGCAAAAATGTAAATATTTATCATACCGGAAACATGCGTTGCTTCTGCTACGTCTACTTCAATTTGTACTTGGTAAGCCCCTATCTTCCTCTCTCACTCCCTCTCTCTCTCTTCCTATTCTCGCTTCCCTCCTTGATTTCCTTCTCGCCAAACATGCTCTTAAAATCGCAAAAGAATGTTGCTACGCTTCACTCGCTCTGCTTAGCTCCCACTCTCACATCGCCGCCCCTCCCCCAGCCCCTTCGAATGGGGGCAACGAATATTGCAGCCAAATGCCGTTTTAAGCTTTTAGTTAATTTAAAAGTTGAAATTTATTTGAAAATCCAAACATTTTGTTACTTTCTGTCCCGACGACTGGTCGCGCCCGGCCCAACTGCCAACGCATTGTCCTGACTCACACCAGCCCAGAATTACAGCTAAGTGAAGTAAAAATGCGAAAAATGTAATAGAATTAGTAGTTAGTAAGCGACTAGCAGATACCCCGTAATGTCAAAAGTTATCCAATTGCCAAAAGTTTAGTAAAGTAAATTTGCCATAAAAGAGATAAGATATGATATAAAAGTTTATAAGTAAGTATTTTATAGAAAGTCTAGGCAGTGCGTACTAGGGAAGTATTCAATTTTACAACTATGAATGTTAAAAGTAACAGGAGTATAACACTGAATAGCTCAACAAACCCCAAAGAAGTTCTTGATTTAGCTTGAGGAGTTACTTTATATCATAATAATACATGAGCAAAACAATCGAAATATTAATGACAACTTTAATTAAGGATCAAGTGGCATTGGGTCTATTTATCACTGTAGGAGATATTATCCATTAAAAATAAATATTGTTTTAATGATATATAAGAAGTTAATATAATATTAAAATCAATTCGTAGTTTGGCATACAAATTATTTTCCCCAAGTATACTTACAAAAAATTTTTACATTTTTGTATACTCCTTCTAAACAATTTCTAGCGCTATAGGGTATACAAATATTTTGTTAAAAACGTGCCGACATTTTGGTTGTCAACACACACAATCGCAGAGCAAAAGAGATTGAAATGAAAGAGCTGTAGCTGAAGCTGTAGCTGGTCAGGGGAATACTTAGTACATTGGCAATGCTCTGTGTGGTGTCTGGGTTTCGGGTCTCATAGTTAAACTTTAGTTTTATAGATGCAATTTAGAGAAATTGTACGCTTGTCGTTCCGGCTGTGACTCCGGCTAAGAGTCAGTATGTATGTATATATATGTGTGTGTGTCGACAGACCGACGCAATCGTTACATTTCAGTCAATTGTTTAGCCTCAGAAATATATGCGTTTTAAACGAGTCTGTTTAGACCGAAAGATAAATTACACTACTCGTCATGTGTCTGGGCATTGCGACGATGTACGAGTGCTTTTGTGAGTGTGTGTGTGTGTGTGTGGGTGTGAGTATGTGTGAGCATTGTTAATGAGACCCAAGAAGCTTAACCGCTCACATCATTTGCCATGTTTTTGTTTGCTTTAATTTTTTTGAAGGGGTCCTCTCGCTTTTTTCTCCTATTAGTGAAGGACTAAGCTTTTCATGGCTATATATACATATGTGCATGTTTGTATATATTTAACAGATTTACATGCTTTGCCACAACAAAGAAATTTCGTACAAACATTCGCAGGTACTTTATGCTTATTGCATTAGCCTGGCTATAACCTTTTGTGGCCGCCACGTCAACTTTATAATGAGCGTGGCGTGTCTATTTATGGGGATTTTAAATTTCAATTAAGGCTCACTTATCAGCTCTAGGGGCTTAGATTAAAATAAATGCCATGCTTGAATATACAAATTTATCGTTCATCGTTTCGGGCTTGGATTAAGTTCCCATTCGGCTTGACCCAGGATTGTTGGCTTAAAACTAAAGTTGCGGATTAAATTATGAATTTGTATAATATATCATCCAGTATATATTTAATGTAAATTAGGGAAAGCCTATCTATACTGGGTCCATGGTTTTTGGATAATGATTTCTTAGTAGAGGTTGCTTCAGTTTTTGGCTTGAATAGATGAGTAACTGATTTGGTCAAAGGCTCGTAAAAGCCAAACATGGGAAATCAGGGTAGAATGGTTTTGTTGAAATGTATGTAACAGGCAAAAGGAGGCGTGGAAGACCCTAAAAAGTAGATATATTCTTGATCAGGGCGACGAGCGGAGTCGATTTAGCCCTGTCCGCCTGTCTGTCCGTCTGAACGCGTCGATCTCTGAAGATATAAGAGCCAGAGACTTAATTTTTTTTTAAAAACATTATTGAAAATTAGTTATATTATATCTCCTACACATTTAGAGCTAGAGCTTCTACATACCCCTCACTCGCCCCTTCCCTCAAGCTCCCTTCCACTCTGCCCCTCTTTATCCTTTGCTTAAGTTCAGTTTGGTGCTTAGCTAATCTTCACCTGTGTCAAAGGATCAAATATAATGGACTTTCGATTGGGTCTAAATTAAACTTTGTTCACAAATTCCTTGCCACAAACTTTTTGGCTAATGCCCACCGAATTCCCCTCTAATACTTATGCTAAACGATAGAAAAGTTAGTAGATCAAACCACAAAATTCTAGCTAATTAACTGACGCACCCGGAATTGTTTGTATACGCAAAGTTTTTGCTGCTCAAAATAAATATTTGTCAACCGAATGTAAATGCAAATGTTGACTTTTCGTTAAGCCAAAGCAGCAAAATAATAATAAAAAAACTAAATAAAAAAATAAACAAAAAAACAAAAAAGAGACGAAAATAACAGTGAAACGATCCTTTGATTGCTACAAATAAACATATTCACATTTCACTTATGAAGCTAGTTCCAAGAAACGAGGACACAAAACTTTCGAGTTCACTGCGCGCGCCTGGATACATTACTGTATTCCCTTGTATATTCGTACGCAACGATTCGCTACAGTGAGCACACACGGAAACGAAATTCCGCAGTCTGTATATATGTAGATATTTATATATGGATATTTTACAAGGCTGAACACAGCAGAAAATCAAAGCAAATTTCTATTTCATTTTGGTTTTAGTGGCCTGGTTTTAGAAAAACATCTCTTATGACACAATAAAAACGAAAGCTGCATCTATAGAGAGCAAATACAATTTTGTTTTTTAATGTTTATAAGTTTTCGTTATTATATTTAATTTACAAACTTTTTTGTTTTGTATATTTTTGTTAAAAAAAATAAATAAATACTTAAAAAAGAAGGTTTTTAGTAGAATAAAATATATTAGACATTAAATTGATAATATTATTTTATCAATATTATTTATTTTTGTCATTACATGATAAATGACAACTCTCATTTTATTTTATATTCGTTATATTAATTATTATTATTTATATTTCTTCAACTTTTGTTTATTAATTATATTTTTGCTTTTATTATTATTGTACTTTCTACTATACTGTTTTTTTTTTTTTTTTTTTTTTTTTTTTGGTATTCTTATTTTACTTGATTTTTTACCATTGTACAGCAGATTCTGATCGGATTTGCATTTGCATTTCCTTTTGCTGATTGCCGACTAAAACCTCCCCGCTCTTGAGCTTTCGCCCACCTTTAAACTAGGTGCTTTCCTGCATTAACCATCAGACTTTAGCCCTTCCATGAGCATTGTCCTCAGTATTCCTGCGTCCAGCTGCTACTTTTTCCGGCGCAAAACTTTTTCAGCGAAGTCAATGACTCTGCTTTACGCAACTTTGTCTTTGCAAATTAGCTTTACTAGACTCCACCAGGTAATTATTATTATTTCTACATGATTATTTTTATATTATTTTCTTCTTTTTTACACAAAGCACAAAAACTCTACTAAATGCTTATAAGAAGAAGAAGAATATATACTAAGAGGTGAACTAAAAATCTTTGCGTTGTTTTCCTTCTTTTCAAAAAAGAGAAACGTGAAAGTGTTTTTATATTTCATGACTGTTATCTTTGGTCCATTGAATTCAGTTCATTTGCAGGTGTACAAAGCGCTCCAGCAGTTGCAGTGAGTGTGTGTGTGTGAGTGTGTATGCGTGTGTGAGTGTGTGTGTGTGTGTGTGGCATATTGGTTGGCTCATGACGTATGCGCCACGTGTGCCACGCTTGATAAAACGTTTGCGGCAAGTGGCATGCAGCAGGAGGCGCAGGGCGTGCGGTGGGGGGCGGGAGGCAAACTGCAAGCAGGCGGCATGCGCATTTAAAATGGCGCATAAAAGCCAGGTCAAAAGAAGCAATTGCTCGTATTGAGGCTGGGGCAGGCAGGTGGGCACAGGTGGGCCGCTAGCCATGGGTGGCTGGCTCTATGAATTGAGTCCAGTTTTCAAAGGCAGCTCGGGCCAGTTGTGGCCAAGGCTATTTAAGGATGCCACGCTCTGATGCGTTGCACAGTTAGGACTCGAGCTTGCCAGCGAGAAGGTGCGACCCGGCGCTGGCCATTAAAAACATTCGCATTCAAGCCAGAGCCACAGTTAATGGATACTTAACATTTGCCATTGTTTTTACTCACACACACCCCCTCTCTCTCTCTCTCTCTCTCTCTCTGTCTCTTTCTCCAATTGCAGCACAGAGCGCGGAGGCGAGGCGGCGTAGGAGCAACAGCAGGACGCGATTGACGACATTGTTGCTGTGCGGCGGATAGCGCGTTTAGTGTATAATATTTGAAATCAAAGCGAAAGGGTATGAACATGTCGGTGCGGCTCTGTATCAAGCACAAGATTCACATGCGCACCACGGCTGTCAAAATGAAAATGCCGACAATCAGTCGAGCCAGCAGCAGCCAGCAGGAGACGAAAGTGGAGAAGGCGGCGGAGGTGGTGGAGCTGGAGAACAGCCAAGAGCAGGAAAAGGCAGCGGGCCACACCAATTGACGACAAACTCAAGAAGCAAACAGACTAAGCTAATCCAATCGCGTTTTCTACATATTTACTTTTGCGTTTTCATTGGTTCCTTGATGAGCTACAGTAGAGCTATTCGTGCAGCAAGCGTGCCGCGATGGCAGGCAATGCAAATTCGCCGCAGCCGAGCCATTTGCATTATAAGACTGATAACATTAAAGAGATTTCTACACATTTTGGCCATGTCAGCGCACAATCAAAGGCAGCGCATGCAGCAGCCGGGCCAGCAGCAGCAGCAGCAGCAGCAGCTTCAGCAGCAGCAGCAACTACAACAACAACTACAACAACAATCGGCGCAGAGGAAACGCCATTTATGGCACACACAGGACCCGGCACAGATGGCATCCTGCAGCACGTGGCTGCTGCTGCTGTTGCTGTTGTCCTCACTCTGGCCGGACTGCGAGTGCCTCCATGGCGCCAAGCTGAGCGCCAGCACGGTGAAGACCAGGTACGGCCTGCTGCGCGGCATTGTGGTGCGCTCCTCGCCCCTGGTGGAGGCATTCCTTGGCATTCCGTATGCATCGCCGCCCGTCGGCAGTCTCAGGTGAGTTCCAAGCTCAGATAATGCGGGCTAACCGCCCGCGGATAACTGTATAAGTGTATGAGTTTGTATGTGTGTGTGTGTGTGCGTGTGATCTCTGCCTGCAGCTGTTGTATGCGTGCAACATTTTTAATACCCAGTGTGAGTGTGTATTATGAAGAAGTATATTAGTTTTGTTCAGAGAGAAACTAAAACCTAACGTCAGTTTTTTACGTGTCACCATATATGTATATGGGAGCATAAACCTGAATATAATTATATTTATATATATAAATTTAAAAATCTTTTTTAAAGATATGATATGCGCTGTATAATAGAAATAAATCCAACATATTATTAAATAGTTTTTACCCCAACATAGATATAAGGACTTTCAACTTTCAAACAAATTTTAAAATGTCCGATAAAAATCAATATAAACTAACTCAGGCTCTTATAAGCACTAAATACGAAAATAAAAATAATTTGAAGAAAGGTATTTTATACTGTTATGCTCTCCTATAAAATTTCAATAAGCTGAAAATGTAATCTACAAAACCTATTCAAGAATGAACAAAAGTCAGAGCTCAGCCAAGAAGAATAAACTATAAAGAAAAGTATTTCTACCTTATTCTTTCTGAAATAAAGTTTAAACATAATAAGGAAACCGTATATTTTAGTCAGGCATATCCAACTAAAGTTTTTGCACTTGAGTTTTCTTTGTTTTCATATAATTTTTTTTTTTTTTGTCCTTTATTTGGATTATTTTCACCCGCAACTTTGTTATAACGCAGCGCAACTTTATCAGGCTCCTGAGTCAGGCAAAAGGGAATTTTAATAATTATTTTGATAATATGCACGTGTGCATGGGCACACAAAGAACGTCCGGAACTTTGCACGCCCTTGCGCTGCCAAAACGAAAGCCAAAGCCAGAGCTGAAGCCAACGCCAATGCCAGAGTCAGAGTCAGAGCCTGTGCGGGATTCAGCGTAAGAGTCAGAGTTCCGTGTCCATAATAAGCCTTACATTGTTTGCCGGATTTAAGTTCCAAGGTTCTGGCCCCGGTCCCGGCCAATAGCCAAAGGGCTCTTAATGAAGCTAACTGCAACTTGTGTTTATTTTACAATTAGCAGCTGGCTGTACTTTAATAGTAATTCTCTAAGAAAATGGGGGCCCCAAAGGGCGGAAGCATGGCATCTCCTAATAAGCTTAGCGCATTAAACGAGCTCATTTATTTCAATGTAAGAAGTTGCCCAGCTTAGCAAGCCCTAAACAAGGCGACCAAATAATCCAATAGTTCCGCAAATGTTAAATGTTAAACTGACTTTAACATTCTGCTATTAACAGCTCGCTTCTTATTTATTGCGCAATCAAAGTTTCGTGAAAAATAAAAACTACAACTTTTTTGCCCTGCCAAAGTTATAAAAACTAGCTCAACTTGTTTTTCTGCATGTCATGTGCATAAAAAAACTTTAAACTGCCGTAACATGACTTAAGACCAACAGCAAATAATGATGACTTCATGTGCGAGCACCAAACTAAAGTTAAATTGGAAGTTTTTTAATACTTTTTAGAAAAAATATATAAATATTTATCGAAGAGTCGATTTTACTGTATGTTATAATAACTTTTATGTTCCCTGACAAGTTGGTGATAATTTGCAAAACCAATATAAATATATTTTGTGGTACATCTTGATGTCCTTTCGTGTGTCACTCCATTTCTATGTGTATAAATAATGATTTATTTGATACATATAAGGCTGTTTTGACTAAAGAAAACTATTAACTGAAGGTATAGAAATTCTAAGCATAGAGATCAAACTCTTAAAGGATTTTCAGCTCGAATCGAATCTATTCTTTATCTTCGGCTCGCTAACTTCGCTACCTCATAAGTTTTCGTCTCTTTGACTCCTAGTCTACTCCTCTACTTAACTACTGTACTTTACTTCTTTACTCCTCTTCTTCCATTAGCCCTTTGCTCCTTTATTTCTCTACTCGTCTATTCCCCTTCTCATCTACTCCTCTCCATCACCACACGCATTTGTAAATTTCTCTAGATTTGGATATAAATAAAAACAAGTTTTGATTTGATTTCAAATTTCGTTGATTAGTATCTTTGGAGACAGTCACTGATTTGTTTAGACGCAGTGATTAATTAGCTTTCGCTTGCTATACGACAAAATCGACAATTTGTCAAATATCACGTACCGACGGCCACGCCCAGCACCCACCTACTGCCAATTGTCATTGGAGCATGAATAATTCGCACGTAACTCGCACCTCTCTATATATATATATCTCTCTCTCTCTCTCTCTTTCGCTCGTTCTGTGAGTGTGTATGCCAAGCAAAGACGAAAGATTCACTGGCATTTGATTAAGTCCTGTTGCTCATTTGCAGCATCTGTTGATGCTGCATAACAATGAGCCAAGATTCATAAGCGAACTCCATTGACTTTGGCACTTTGTGCCGGAAGTAATTAAAGTACAATTTGCCAGCAGAGTTTAGCAGCGCCGAAAAATGAGCACTGAAATACATACATACCTACATACGGCATCTAATCAGCTCTCACACTGTCTATGTGTGACTCTGCAATATACATATATTAGCTACACTTTAGGTGTAAGTACTGCTCGGCTGCAGACAGGACAGCAGAGATACAGGACACGCTCCACGAGGTGACAAAGTGTTGGCAAAAAACTTTTGCAATATGCCGCAAACTTGCTACAAATTTTTGCTCAGCAACTCCAACTACTCAGAACTTGAGAGACGCTTGATGTTCGAGCTGAAACTAAATTTGGTTCAGATCTTTCATCGAATAACTTTCTTTATCCCCTTTTTTTGGCTGCTCAAGTAAGGGAGTGGGAGAGGGGGAGACAATCAAGTTTAGCTGAAGGAAAACCATGTTGAGAATTACCTCGACAAATATTTTGCTACAAAATTTGTATATGTACAAGCTGAGCATATCAGGTGTATAGTTGTATACATACATATGCATGTATATTTTAAAATATAATTCAAAATTTCACGACCAGCAAAGTTTATCCATCAACACACGAATAGCGAAGGTAGCGCTGCGTCAATCTGACGCATAAGCAACTAAACAGATTGAAAAGCAATTAAATTGTATTTTACAATACCCTAGAAGAGTGAGAGGGGTTCCATGAGAGATATTAGAAGTCGACATGACTAATAGATGTCAGCAAAAATAAAATGTAGATCAGATATATAGATAATTGTGATGATTAATCAAATTGTTTTATTTTATTTATTTTTTTTTTTTTAATTTATTAACCTTTGAATATCCACCTTAGCCCATTCCATTATAGCCTTGTCAAATAATTTACAACTGAATAAAAAGATTTTTTAAACCTTGAAGTAATTTAGTTAGGAATTATTAGTTAGTTTTCTCCTCTGGTCAACAATTAGATATAGATTCTTGGCTATTTCCTAGCGTAGACAAACCTCGAAGACGAGCCATAATAGAGCCAAGCCAAAGAGCTGTCAAAAACTAATTGAGCATGTGAAATGGCCGAACTTTTTGCCACAAGTGAAAGACTTGAGTAATAATAAAGCGCCATCGAAAGCTGATTATATGTATCCCGGAAGTTATCATTGGCATTACTAATATACCTCGTATAATACTCCCATGTCCATTGAATAAACCACGGGATCTGTTAAATAATTATAGGCAAAAATGTTTCATAAATTTATAAGTCCATTCAGCTCGAGTTTTCTCTTAGTATTTCTTTCTTCTTATTTTGTCGTCTAATATATAATAAATATATAAATATATAAGTAAACAGAAAATTTTTATATATTTTTTGACAACCCTTTAAAAATTTCTTTAATGCAATTTAGTTTCAATTATTTTTAAATTACAAATAGAATCGTTAATATTGAATATTGGTGAAGTTATGGAATATAAAAAATACAATATAACTCCCTTTCTTAGAACGTATAAAATATAATGAGCTCAGACAATATTTTCATTTAAATTTTTGTTTATACTTATAAAATACCCTCCAAAGAAAAGAAATCTTCCACGAACTATAACTATTTAGGATTAGTTTAATATTCTTGACATATTCTCTCAGAGATAAGTGTATGTGTATACCCTTTCTGATTAAAGGCACAGGGTATTGGCTGAACACTTATTCATTTATCGCCTGTTAAGATGTTGTTATAGCAAAAAGCGAAACCCACAAAATGCGTCGTTTAATTTGAAAGCATAATTTAGCTTTCATCCATTCGAGCATCCCAGGCACCGCAAAATGTGGAAACTGATTAAGGCCATGGCAAAGAGAAAACCAGAAAAAGACCGAAAATGGAAATTGTAGAGTGGAGCATGGAGCGTGGAGCGTGGAATTATGAGCATTATTGTCTCATCGAGCAACAAAATAAAGAAAGGAAAAAAATGATGCTGCGGTGCTGCGATGCTACGTTGCTGTGCGATGAGCTCCTATCAAGGCGAAAACAATCAAAAAAGGTTTCGCGTCAATTGTTGTGTCATAAAATCAACATTTAAGCCTGCCAGAGCGATGGCATAAACAGTATAGACGGCATAAACGGCATAAACGTGGCCACTGAAGAGCCACTATGCTCAGTTGGCCGTTGATCGATGGCATTCGATGCGAAACAATAAAATGCACAATTAATCAAAAGCATTTGCCAATTTTGATTGATGGCCGTTTGGTACTTAGCGCCACGAATCCTTTATCCGCCCACAGAGTCCGCTTCATTCTCAAATTCAGATTCGGATTCCGATTCAGATGCAGATAGTCAACGGACGTAGTCGGGACAGTAGTTGGCTGCCATTGCCATTAGCACGTTTGACGCGTCGCTCGCATATACATACATACATACATACATACATATATTTATCTATAGATTGTACACATATTGGGGTCCGTTGCCATTGAATTGCAGATTTATGCCACCCATAACGCCATCGACGTGGAAAACGGTCCGGAACGCGGATCGATTCTCGCCCGTTTGCCCACAGAATGTGCCCATACCGCCCAACGGACCGGAGGCGTTGCTGGAGCTGCCACGCGCTCGACTCGCCCAGCTGAGACGGCTGCTGCCGCTGCTCAAGAACCAATCGGAAGACTGCTTATACCTTAATATCTATGTGCCCTACGAAACGCAGCGAGCCAGACGTAAGTTATTCAAAAAAAAAATCGAAAAATCAAAAAAACAAAAAATCATCAAATCATAAACTCATTAGATATGCTAAGTCATTCCAGTTAATCGGTTTTACGCAAAACTTTTAGCTTGTCAATATATTTTCTTTAAAGATTTACAATTTGATTTCAATTATGTTAAATCAGGCAATTGATTCGAGTATAGAAAACAAAAAATATAATAAAATCAAGCATTAAATAATATATATAAATATTTGTAATGTCTGTTTAAGACTCTAATTGACCATTGAAAAAGTTGAAAACTTCGCAGATAAAATGTGGAAAATTACAAAAGTGATTCAATTGACAGCATAATTGGCAACGAAAAGGGACTCGTCCCTGGCCAAAGGGGAAGAATTAAATGAAATTAATTTATTTATGTACAAACTTTCGCATTGAACAAACAGTTAAGCGACTGCGAGTGCGAGTGCGAGTTGATTATCAATGGCTGCGTAACTTTCAATTCCGTAGTGCATTGCAGTTGATTTAAGGAATTACTGCAAGCGCTGCAGAATTGGCAGCTCCGTTGACCACAGACAGCATATGGAAGCATTTCGAAAAATGAAGCTAATTGGGCCAAATGAATGGCCGTGCGGCATACACAGTGTATCACTCATTACGGCAATCATTAGCCGTATCGTTAGCTTCATTATTTTCATTTATTATCAATGTATTTACATACATTTTATATTGATTTAATTTATTATTATAATCATTGCTATTTTTAATATTAATATTGTCGGACAAATCCTGATTTTACCATTGTCATTGAGGCAATCATTGTCAATATTATTATTAGTGCTATTATTATCCCTATTATAATTTCCATATTGGCGTGGGCATTGACATTGACATTGACATTGACATTGTATTGGCATTGACATTAAATTTGCATTATCATTAGTAAAATTATTACTTTTCTCTTTCATTTTCATTATTATTGCTATTAACATTGTTATTAGCATTATAATTTTCGATATACTTTTCAGTGTCATTGAATTTACATAATCATTGTCAATTTCGTTTTAGATCAAGTTTATATAATAACAAATAATACACTGACTGAAATTACAATTTCGAGTACTTATAGCTCAATCGTTACCTAAAACCTCATCTCTCTCAGCCCATCCCGTATTAAACTTTTACTAATACTTGAAATTTTCGTAATATTCTCATTTTCTTAGCAGATAATGAGGCTGCAAATGATAGTGCGAGTACCAGCGCTAGTTCCAGCTCCAAATCCAGCACAAGTTCTACTTCCAACTCATTGCTCTCCACGGTGCTGTTCATACATGGCGAATCGTACGACTGGAACTCCGGCAATCCCTACGATGGCTCCGAACTTGCCGCCCATGGCAACGTCATCGTTGTGACAATCAATTTTCGGCTCGGCATTTTTGGGTTTCTCAAGACCGGCGGCAAGGAGAGCGCCCAGGGCAACTTCGGACTAATGGATCTAGTTGCCGGCCTGCACTGGCTCAAGGAGAATCTGCCCGCATTCGGCGGCAATCCCCAGAGCATCACCCTGCTCGGCTACGGCACCGGAGCTGTGCTGGCCAACATCTTGGCCGTGTCGCCCGTGGCCAGTGGTGCGTCAGCTGCCAATTGATTATGTCAAGGAATATTTGTATATTCAGTCGATTCTTTTAGATCTGATACAGCGCGCAGTGCTCATTAGCGGCACCGCCCTCTCCCCTTGGGCCATACAGAAGAACCCGCTGTTTGTCAAGCGGCGCGTGGCCGAGCAAACTGGCTGCCATGGCGACATGCTCTACGATGATCTCGCACCCTGCCTGCGCACCAAAAGCGTCGCGGAGCTACTCTCGGTTAAGATCGATCATCCGCGGTGAGTACATCAGAATGAGTTTTTAATGTAAATGTGAATTCTATACTTATTGAGAAAAATAAATTAATAATAATATTAATAATAATTTTAAACTAAACATAGTCGAAATTGCTCGACTTTGGGTTGTCTTGAAATAGCTTAGCCTATTTCAGGCTAGGTCTAGCTTACTTGTCAGTGATCTACTCTATTGATAATAACTCCAAGGAATAGCCAGAAATTGAGGCAGACTATGCAGAAGCCTTAGTCCCTTAGTCCATTACTAATTATATATAGTAATGTACATAAGTTATTTAGCATAACAAAATTTAGCCTTACCACGCATACATAAAGCAATTTTATTCTTGAGCAGCATGATGAGCTAATCCGATTTAACTATGCGTGTTTATGCCTGTCTGTATATCTGTCTTTCTCCCAGTCGATGTGTCTGTCTCACAGTCCGCCTCTTCAACTGTCGCTCTCTCTGTGTGCCTAACTACAGAAGATCATTTAAAATGTCCATATGTATGCAGCAGTATTCATTTCGTATTTATATTTGAGTAATACGAAGCTCGAATGCTAGCAACAGCAGAGAGGGTTCCCATTGGTCACTTAATGGTCGACTGCAACTCGGCTGCGACTCGACTCTATACCTGGTGCCGAGCTTAACATTTGAGAACGATTAATGCTTTGAGTGAACGTCGCCCTATATAAAGGGCAGCAGCAGGGCTGCAGCATTTCTTCCGTCGACCAGGCCTGGTGGGGGTCAGTTGTGCGGTGAAATGAGGTGAAGTGTGTCGTTCAGCTAAGCATTAAAGACTTAAGGGAAGGACTTGGAGGAAATACTTAGAGGAAATACTTAGCGGAAATACTTAGCGGAAATACTTAGAGGAAATACGTAGAGCAAGAAGTTAGAGGAAATAGTTAAAGGAAAAACTTAGAGGCAATACTTAGGAGAAAGACTTCGGGAAAACACTTAAAGGAAAGAGGAAATACTTGGGAAATAATAAATGATTTACCATTTCCAATAGCAGTACAAAAAATAATAATAATAATACAAAGATATATTTAACAATCATTAATATTCAATAATACAATTTCAGAGGGTACAATGCTCCTATTTTGTTTAATATTTAGTATATTAATTTGCCTTGAAACCTTTAAGAATTCCTAGCAACTTTTTTCTGTCATATAGGGACATGAAACTACAGCAAACCTTACATACTTTCAGTTTCCTTGTTGGCTTCGCGCCATTTGTGGACGGCACTGTCATCACGCCCAAAACGGATGCCATGTCCAGCACAGCCCTGCCCCTGGGCTCAGCGATAGTTAGGTAGGTCAAACTCCAGTCAAAGTAAACTTTAACTTACTTCTCTCTCTCCCCTTCTCGCTCCCCTTCGCTCTTCGAACAGTACTTCAGGAATTGAATATGCCAACTTTCCCAAGCGTGATCTGATGTTCTGTCTGACATCTGTGGAGTCGTATTTGGATTTGAGCGCTCAGGATCTGGAGTTTGGTTTCAATGAGACGCGCAGGGATCGCATTTTGCGAACATTTGTGCGCAACAATTTCCATTACCATCTGAATGAGATTTTTGCGGTGCTCAAGGTAAGCCTGAAGCCCTAATGCCCAAGAGCTCAGGTGTTCAATTACAGTTTGCCACCCCACTAACATTTGCAGAACGAGTACACGGACTGGGAGAAGGCCATCAGGAACCCGTTGAGCGCACGGGATGCCACGCTGCAGTTTCTGAGCGACGGGCATACGGCGTCGCCCCTCATCAAGCTGGGCTACATGCACAGTTTGCGTGGGGGCCGGACCTACTTTGTGCACTTCAAGCATCGTACGGTCGAGGATGAATATCCACAGGTGGGTACACTTAGTGCGCATAGCTGACCCCTTAACCTTGACCTTGACCTGACCTGACCTGATGACCTTCACAATTCGACAGCGAACTGGCTCCGTGCACGGCGAAGATGTGCCCTTCTGGCTGGGCTTGCCGGTCTCTCCCCTCTTTCCCCACAACTACACCGCGCAGGAGCATCAAATCGGGCGACTGATGCTGCGCTACCTGGCCAACTTTGCCAAAACAGGGTAAGTGCAGGTGATAGAGAAATGAATTCTCCATTAATTCTCACCTTCTTCTCCTCACCTTAGCAATCCGAACCATTCCACAACGGGCCAAGCCCTGCCTACTGCCAGCCAGAGTCGAGCCGCTCTGCATCCACAGCGGAAACGCTCGGCGCCCAGGTATCAGGATGCACTGGCCACCGGTGAGGCGCTCAACCTGGCCGTCCTCTACAACCAGCGTCGCAGCAATGCCATGCACGAGAAGCGCGCCTTCGTACGGCGACGTCTGCGCAGCAACGATGCCAACGCGCCGCAGCAGAGCCTGAGCACTGAGCTGGAGCTGGGCAACTATGACGGCGATGAGCTGCCCTTCTGGGATGCCTACGATGTGGTCAATCAGCTGTACATTGAGCTGGGTAGGTCTAGACTGAGTGCCTAGCTAATCTCTTTGCTAAATCTCCTCAATCTTCCTCTCAGGCAACAAGGCCAACATTCAGAGCCATTATCGTGGCCACAAGCTCTCCATGTGGCTGAATCTCATACCTCAGCTGCATCGGCACTTCAACATCAACGATCAGTCGATGCGGCATCATCAGTTCCAGGACGATCTCAACAGTCGAGATCTATACGAAGGTAAGCCACTGATTAAGCCAGCAAGCTGAAGCCAAAGCTAACGCCTTCGTCTTTTACCTGTCCAGGTGTGGTGCGTCCCCAGCTGCAAACGAAGCCAGCGGAGGATGATAACATCATCATTGTGCAAACGGCTCGCACCACAGCTGCTCCGCCGCCGACGACATCAAAGCAGGAGATGATGAATGCAACGAACGCTTTAGGCGCCGCAGGTGCAACTGCCACAACAGGTAACCTAATCATATCCTTCCATTAGAAATCGGTCCCCTAACAACTCTTTCAGAATGCGGCATCGATGGCGCCATGTCCGTGTCGGAGCTGACCACCACCACCCAAGCACCGAAGGACAATCGCACCCACGGACAGGTGGAGACGCACAAGGATTTGGCCACCGCATCGACGGGCATCATTGGCAATCTGGAGCTGCTGCGCCGGCTCAGTGGCAAACAGTTCCAGAGCTATACCACAGCACTGATAGCCACTGTAGCCGTCGGCTGCTTTCTGCTCATACTGAATGTGCTGATCTTTGCGGGCATCTATCATCAGCGGGAGAAGCGGGCACGCGATGCCAAGACGAAGGAGGAGCTGCAGGACAGCGACACGAGCAAGAACTCGAGCATACTGAAGCTGAATGCGACGGCGGGTGCGGGCGATGGCAGCGATGCCTATACGTTGAGCGGCGGCGTTGTGGACACCAAGAGCGGAATGGGCATGGTCTTTGGCGAGTACAGCTGCTACGATGAGAAGACCAAGCAGATGAAGGAGGAGAAGCTGCTCGTCGAGCTGCCGCCGCAGCCACACACGGCTCAGACAACGCTGCTGATGGACAACTGGGAGGCATGCTCCACCAGTACGCTGGATCTGCTGAAAACACGGCCAGCGGTGCACGCGATCCATGGAGCTGCACCGAGCAGCTCACACATCGAGATGGTCAGCTACAATGCGCTGCCAACGCTGGCAACGGTCATAGAGACGAGCCCGAATCCGGTGACCTCTGCGCCGGGCAGCAAGCGCGGCTCCTTCCTGGACACCAGTGGACAGCTGCAGTTTGACTATGCGGTGCAGTCGTCCGACCAAATGTCCTTCAAGGCCATTGAGGATGCCGTCAAGGCAGCTGCCGGCACTGGCGGCGATTCGGATATCATGAGGGACGATGATATACCAGAGCCGCCGCCTCCACCACGCTCCTTTCTAGCAGCCCAGCAGCAGCAGCAACAACAACAACAACAGCAGCAGCAAATGGGAATCCTGCGTCAGGCGGGCGCTGCAGGTGGAGCCAGCAGCTCGAGCAGCGGCAAGAAACGTGTACATATTCAGGAAATCTCTGTCTAAACATGATAATGCCTCTGTCTCTATCTCTGGCTCTCTTTCTCTCTCTCTGAACTTAGCTTATGGAATTTCAAATCTAAAGAAAAGTGCTCAAAGTGCTTGAACCTATTTTTACCCCTCTATAGACCCAGCCCGACTTGATCCTATAGTTTCTATATATTCTTTCCATACTTTGCCGTAGTCGTATCTGATAAATCTGTTAAGTATATGTGTACGTACTTATTGTCTGTTTGTACATTATGTAAATGTTCCTAAACTAAATCGGAATATGTAGTGCCAAGTAAACTATTCATATATACATATATGATATATATTATATATTATTGTATTATCGTATCGAGTTTGTTTTCCATCATAAATATAATATATGTGTGTGTATAGTTTATGTTTATTTCGACTAACTGATTAAGGACTAATAATTTTATTATCACATATTTGCTTGTTATGTATTTGATAATTAGCCAAATCAAAAACAAAGTCAAATAATAAAATAATAATTATAATAATGAAACAAAATTATGTACAAGTACACAAGCTTTTAAAATATTACAACAATATACTATATATATATATATATATATATATATATATATATATATATATATATATATATATATATATATATATGATGATATATATATATATATATATGATACACATAATGTATTTGCGAGTAAATGTATTGTAAAATATTGAATCTATTTGTATGAAATACACATGTAATAAAATTATACTTATGTATACTCCGCATTTTTATGATATTGAAAACGAAATTAAATCCGATTTGTTATTCTGGTATTTAATTTTTAACATTATCTGAATAGATTTCATTAAACTTTAAGTACGCCGAATGTAAAACTTATACTTAGACCACAAACCGTAGTTAAAGAATTGGTTCTACGATTTATTATTTTTTTCACCGCGGAACAACCGAAACCGTCATATCAATTCCGATCTTCAATGTCGAGTGATGCCTCTCATATCTATGATGAACTGTGAGCCGATATGAAATAGCAAAGATATTCTTAGGAGGGAGTAAGAGCTGTCAGGCACTCTAGACTAGAATCAGCATTGTTTGCTGGGATTTTCAGGCGCAGATTCAATGATGCTCGGCAATCAGTACTCGTAACATATATTCCAGCTTTTGATCGATAGGAATACAGCATCCATATTATCCAAAGGCTATCTACAAATTGCGTGTTCTAGCAATTCTAATCCCAGACTACTCGTGTTGCAGAACACTGGCGCCCATTAGCAGGTGGCCAAGGAGAATGACCAACAGCGATACTGACTTTCATATTTACAATTTGTGTTCGTTAAATATGGCCATGAAACGATTACGGCTATACATTTTGGAACAGCAGGCGGACAGTTCATACGGCTGCCATTAACTTTAAGACAAGTTCTTAACGTACGTGACATGGCCACCTGATATTTTAAATATATAATTTGTACCAATAACAGATGAATTTTAAAACATTTATATTCTATACTTCTATAGGCTCCGATTTTATTGTTTTGATTTTTTTTAGTTTTCCTACAGCTACGTCAGGATCTGCGGCCTGCTTACGCTTTGATGCCTTTTTCTTTTTCGGCGACTCCTCAGCCTCTATGTTTGTCTCCACTTTAATTAGCTCTACGAGAGCATCAAGCTCTACATTTGCTTCTGGAGCTGTATTTACCTCCTCGTTCTCCTCAAATTTTATGACATTGTTCTGTGAAAGGGATATATACAGTCAAATTAAATTCGTCAAGAATATATTGTAAGTGGACTTACCTGTGACTCAGACTCTTCGAGCAACAATTCGCCCTCGATATATGGCATGGCGCTACCTATATTAAAGTCCTTGATTCGAAACTTAATTTCCTGATCCATGACAATGTCATTTCTGTTTTGTTTCTTATTCGTAAATCGTATGGTTGTGTTGAACACTCGGTAGATAATAACGCTGATTTGATGTTTGGATATGTGCCGCACAACGCCATGGAGCACCGCACCAGCAACTGGCCTGAACACATAGAAATCGGCATTAATTAGCAAATGCAGAGTAGGATCATCGGCGCGTAACGCTGCCGTTTGACCCAAAACCTTAATGTTCTTGATCCCAAGCACTATTCCATTCACATTGCTATCGTATATGCCCACTTTGGTGCGGATGAGCAGCTCGTGCAACGCATGCTTAAAGTTACCCATGCCGTAAGGACCCATGGCCAGGTGCAGGTCTGTTTTGATGCAGCGCACGCATGATTCCGGGTTGGCGGCATACTGTTGCAGCTCTTTCGTCGTAAATTTTATGTATTTCTGGAGTATTTTGGCCATTCTGTTTGTCTATTGCTTGGAGCACTTGCAACCACATGAGTTTTTGCTGTTCCTCAATTGGCACTATGTCAACCCTAATACGCTAACTATCGTGCTCAGCGTATTCAACTGTGACACATCTCTAATATGAATTTATCGATAGCTGTACACATATCGAAGCATCATCTTTTTAGGGGTTGTTATGTTCAAAAACAGGAAATGATCGGGAACGTGGTAGAACAATGCAAATGATATATGTATGTATGTTTCTAGGTGGAATAAACTAGATTGTCACAGCTGGAACATTCTAATAGGTAGTAGAACAATTAAAACAAGAGATATATGTATATGCGATTTTAATGGGATAGCATTCGTTTTATTCGCGAATGAAAATGATTTCTTAAATATTTTCGCTTTCAATATAACATAATAAATAGTTTAATACGAAAACAATACATACTATTTTACAGGTATAACTCGATATATACATAAATATTGTTTCCTTTTTTTTTACAAAAGAAAAAATTAAAATTTAAGGCAATACCTTTTGGCGCGCCTTTTTTATTCAAGAAAATTCACTGAGTTGAGAAATATAGATTTATATATGTATACCATTCATCCGGTGTTTTCTTTTGCTGATAGATTAGGAACAGACCTCGAACGATCACGAGGCATGAGATTTGCAAATTGATATTAGCAACAACTTACAACTACGATTACATGCTTAAAATTAACAAGAATGTGAGCTTAGTTCACGTTGAAGTGCGGAAGAGTTTAGTGCCGGCGTTTTGTATTAGATTGATTTCAATAGTCAAACATTTGTGATGACATTCTTATTTCGATCGGCCAGATTATGAAATTTACCGTGCGATCCAAACGGCGTACGCATGCGTCTCGTAAAGGAGCGCAGGCAACGTTGTCCGTCCAATGGTTCCGGTGTATTAGAGGCAGCCAGAACAGAGACTACAAAAAATTATATTATAAATAATGAAAATCTTAAATGTATTTTTATAGTAAAATATATTACCTCTCTGCTCGAGCATCTTAATTTGTTTCTTTGCCTCCCTCAATTTGTTCATCAGTATCTCGTTCTTACGCTTCTCCACAGTCAGCTCCAGACCAAGCTGCAATTTACTCTTTGAATCCACAGCACTCAGAATTCTATTGTCAAAAAGATATCAAATTTAGAAAATACTTCTAGTCAAACCTATATGTGACTAAACTTACGGATGACTGTAAATGGACATGGAGCTGGGCCTCTCATTCGGCTCGGGATGCATCATTTGCGCGATGAGTTCATTAAAGTCCTTGCTCAACGCTGGTATGGCCGGCACCTCTCCGTTGCGTAACTTGTGCCACTCGGGTCCGTTCTTTGGCAATGGTCCGCCGCCAGCCACCTCGAAGAGCGTTATGCCCAGCGAGAAGATGTCCGCCTTGAACAGATTGCTATAGTCTTCCTGCAGTATCTCCTTGGACAGATAGCGGCAATCACCCTCCTCGACGTACGGCTCGTTCACGGACGTCACATGTCCTAAGTCACCAATTTTGTATGTTACAAGATTCTCAGAGCTGCGCAGCTCCTCGTACACGCTATCCATGCCGTCATCATCTTTGCTGACCTGCTGCTGTGTCTTGTGCGCAGTGGGATTCATGGTGGAGAATATGTTCTCTGGCTTGATGTCCATGTGCACCAAATCATTGGAATGTATATAACGCAGGCCCTCGATCACATGCATCAGCAAGATCTTAAGCTCGGATTCGCCCAAGCAATGCTCCTGGATTCGCGCATGCAGGCTGCCCCCATCACAAAATTCATTCTGTATCAACATATGATCGTCCTCCGCCCAGGCCGAATAGTAGCGAACCACATTGTCGTGCTTGCCCAGCACCGCATGCGCCCACACCTCGTTCAAGGCACGCTTTCTGAAAATGTGAGAAGTCGGATATTAATAAATAGACTTCAAGAGAGCTTCTGAGTAACTTACTCGAATGAGCTGCCCGCAACGGGTTTCTTGCTTTTTTTAATGGCATAGATGCAACCATCAAGTCGATTCACACACTGAAAGACGACTCCGAATTCGCCCACGCCAATGACGCTGACCTGCATGAACTCGCGCTTGAAACGACTGATGTTTGTGTCGTGCAGAGCCAATCGCTTGGGTGCCTGTTGATGTATCTCGCGCATGCTGTCCAGGCCATTGGCATCCTGTGCGCCATCGTCCTCGCCGGCATCACTGAGCAGAAACTTTTGCATGGCGCTCAAATTGAGATTCTCACGTCCGAACTGAGTGCGACAGCGCTTCTTGTTGTGCGCCAACAGACCTGTAATGAAGTAATAAACACGATATTCCATCTGATGTACATATGTTATATATTCATTTGTCACTCACTGTCTGGTGTGAAGGGATTCACATTGGCCGTGTCTTGGGGCTGCATCGTTCTGTGGTTGTGCAGCGGCAGCGAGCGCGGACGTTCTGTGACTTTGTAGACATCCTCACGTTTGACCGAATGCGCCGCAGCTGCTGCGGCTGATAGATGATTGCAGTTTGTTGTTGACTTCTGCAATATAGTCTTTGGCGTTGCTGGTGTGTTGAAAAGACGAAGTGCGCGCACTTTTTGGCATGGTGGCGACATGTCGTTGTCACGCGCTACAGCATTTGGTTTCTTTTTTTGTTGCGGACTCTCCTGTCGATCCTTGTCAAAATCGTCGTCGGCGAAGCGCAATTTGCGTGGATTAAATATCAGTGGCGACGGAGAACGCGAACGCATCTCGACGCTAGAGTCGAGTTGCTCAAGCGATGTGTCTTCCGCACTGATGATGCTCGTTTCGTGCTTGGACAAGCGAAAGGCCATGGCCATTGCAATTCCAATTAATTAAATACTTTAATCACACACTTCACCAAATTGCCGAACTAAATTTATTGTTGATTGCGTTTGCAGTTTGATCAATGTAAAAAAAATAAACAAAACAAAAACACAAAACAGTATTAAGTGTAGGAATGCGAAGCGCAATTGATCTTATATCGATATGTGCGTCCATCGATGACATTTGCGGACGGTGTCAATTATCGATATTATTCTATCGATATAAACAGGCACAGAGTTTCTTTAAAAAATTTCTTTCTGCATTCGAACTATTCTATTATCGATCGCAATGCAAAATCTTAAAAACTGCTTAAAGTTAAATGATCCAAATAGAGTTATTAGCTTAAAAATGATTTGTTCATGAGAAATTTGGGAAACAATACAAAACAAATCTCAATTTCAAAACTAATAAAATATGGCTTTCTATTGTGAAAAAATACAGTACAAACAAAGCAGTCTGACACGCTTCGATTGAAAAACAACAGTTGAATGTTTAAAGCTTACAGCAAAAGGTGAACCGTTTGCCTTTCCCAAGACGTTTCAATCACCGGCAGTGGCCAAATTTTCATTAGCCACATTTCAAGTTGCTAGACTATTAGACTTATTGCCCAGATCGAGCTCCATGCGACAACCGACAAGATAATTGTACCAAATATTAATAGCTTCCTGCGTCAACTGAGCTATATTCGAGGAGAAATCACAAATCATTGAATTGTTGAGAAACGTTAAAAAAAAACTAACGCAAGTATACTAAAAGCTTTTTAGTCTGGCTTTTAGTCGTAGTGCAAGTCGCTCTCATGGCGGCCTTTCCATTGGTGTTAATTTACTTACAAGGCTTAAGATAAGGTTCCATTTTTGTCAGGAAAAATATCCGATATCAGAGATTCTAAATATATATAGGAGAGGCGCTCATTGCTATTTCAGCTCGTACGCAGTTATGAAGGACCCTAAATTAACATGTTAATGGTTATTTTTTAATGTTATATTATTTTTCGAATATACATTTTTCAGTCCATTTAAAAGCGTCTTTTAATACATTTTCCATTTCCCGCCCGTATAATTGAAAATAAAACGAAGCCAAATTTTTTGGCATTTGATTTATTGATTGAATATTAATGTATTGTAGGTTCTACACGCACCTGTTACATAGAAGATGCGCATTTCAAAAAAATCATACATTATTATTATAATACTTAACTATGACGTAATGTATGAGAAATCTGAATTGGTTTGCAATAATTTTGCTTAATTTAATGAATATTTAAAAACACCTTACAAACTTGAAGTGAGAATATCATTCGGGCATTGGATCTGTCTGGCATTCAAGGTTAAAAGGGTTCGTTCGATCAATCTGATAAGTTTATATCATAAAATTGACATGAGGATAGAATTTCAATTGTCCGAAACGATTGATTGATTGATTTTCATATATTCCTACAAATTTAAGCTGCCACTTCAATATAATTACGTGATTTCTCTTTTTCGAATACAAAAACATTCTTAGCCTGATATATGTTTCTATATATGTTTGCATGTATTTATGTATGTTTTTATGTATCTATGAAAAGCAAAAGGTTTTCATTTATAATGAGGTGAATGACTAGATCGATGATACTAAAACTGTTTCGATCTGTAAATTTGAGTTGTTTGTTCGATGAGCGTTTAAACGGATATAAAAAAAATTGTTCTACCTGGCATTCTCAGTTAAGGTGGAGAAAATAGAGGAAGTGGGAGTGTGAAAAAGAGAGTATATGCTTAATGCTGGTGTATTTTAGTCTATAGATTATATTCTAAGCTAAGAATGTGGGCAACTAAAATGATTGACTGCCTGACGAACAGATAGGTAATTGTAAATTTTTGGGGTGTTTTTTTTTTTGTAATTTTTTTTTTTGTTGTGATTTTTTTCTTTTAATATTTTTGTGTTTGGTTGAAGGAATGAAAGAAGCAGCAGGTTGAGCCCTATTGTAAATGGCCAAAATCAGGTTCCTTGCAACGCTAGTCCCTAGACATGGAACGCGATACTGAGGAATCGCCGCGACGGCGCGACGGCGAACCGCGACGCGGCGGTGATGGCGATCGCGAGCCTCGATCTCTGTCGTCGTCATCATCATCGTATCGCCGCTTTACTGGCGGCGGCGAGTCCACCACTCCGCTGCCATTCCGATCCTGGTCACTATAACGTGATACCGAACCGTTCTCATCCCGACCATTCTCACGGGAGCGTCCAGAGCGACGTCCACCCGAACCAGCTGAACGGCTGCGTGAACGAGTTCCCGACTTCGAGCGAGTGCGACGGCGTCTCGATGTGCTGCGAGATCTGCTCATAGAGTTGCTTCTGCAATGAAAATTAAAGTCAAAGAAGAATTGAAATTACCTTTACAACATACTTTGAATATAATATAAATAATTAGAGCTAGCGAATGATTATTTCAAAATGTCTCTAACAGTCAGATAAAAACATGGCAGACCACATAAAGTATATATCAGATCATAGCTAAAACAAATCCTAATCAAATTTAATCCTATCCCAACCAGCACCACATGAGCAAAACTTTCACAAGATTTACATATAAATTTCATAAAATTTATTATCATCTTTAAACAAACACAAACTAGATACATTGTAGATCGCAAGTGAGCCATTGTTTAGCCATGTTTTTTGCCACCCTTCTTGTGATGCTTGTGACCGTGTTTCTTTTCGCCCTTCTTGCCGTGCTCCTCCTTCTCGTCGTAGCTGTCGCCGTATTTGTGCTCCTTTTTATATTTCTTGTGATCCTCGTCGTGGTGTCCCTTCTTGTAGTGACCCTCCTTCTTTTTGTGACCCTTCTTCTTGCCGCTTTCGTGCTTCTCGCCCTTCTTCTGCTCGCCATGATCCTCCTCGTGATGCTTGTGCTCCTTGCCGTATTTCTTGTGATGGCCGCCCTTGTGCTCATCGTCGTAGAACTTCTTCTCCTTGTAGTATTCGTCCTTGTTGAATTTCTTATGGTACTCCATCTCTTTGTGACCCTTCTTGTGCTTCTTCTTCTCGTGATGCTTGCCGCCCTTCTTGTGTGCTCCATGCTCATGCTTTTCTCCATACTCGTCCGTCTCATCATAGTGTTTTTTCTTCTTTTCACCCTTGTCACCATGATGATGCTCATGATCCTCCTCCTCGTGATGTTTCTTCTCCTCCTCGTCCCATTCTTTGTGCTCCTTGTGGCCATGTTCGCCTTTGTGCTCCTCATCCCCATATTTCTTTTTCTCATGCTTCTCGCCGCCCTCTTCCTCCTCGGAGGAGGCGGCCTCTTTCTTTTTGGCCGCTGCGAATGTCAGCAACAACCCCAAAACTAACAACACCTTCAACTGGCGCCTCATTCTGTCCAACTAAGCACTATCTTTCAGCATCTTTGGTGCTTTTATATCGAATGCCCCCATTGGGCTTCAGCCGATCGGCCTCACCGCAAAATCCACAGACTCGAGTGATGCAAGACATCGTTGGCAGACCCAACGACTGATGTAAATTTTCTGCTTGAACGCGTATTCAAACACCTTTTTATGACTAATCGTCATCTGTTGCTCGTAATCGAACTGCTCCGTCACTTACAATGGGCCTTAGAGCTGACATTCTTTATATAAATTTAACTATAGTGTGCCAGAAAAATGGAGGATAGACGAATAACCAGGCCAAGAGACATATGGTTGGATGGACGAAGATGAACTATATCAATGCAACTAATGGAGTCCATCGGATCATATTCTAATAAACTCTATTCTATCTCTATAAGCACGAATATTGATATATTGGAGACTGTGCTTTAAAAAAGCTACGTTACAGTAGTTTGATTAAGATATCTATTAATATATAATAAGATATTGCTGATACATACATTTAAAAAAATTGTTGAAATATTAGTTCAATATTTAAATCAATTTTAGTTCGATTTGTATTTCAGTAAAAAAAATGTAAATAAACGAATCCGTTTTAAGTAAAAAAATAAATTCAGTTTGTTGTTAATTTATCTTGCATATTACATTTTTATTGCTAATGTAGGTACACAACAAATAAAACTGTATTCTTGGCTGTAAAACTATAGAGTAACTGCTAAAAACTATATATGTACTTAAGCACTATTTCAAAGCACCAGAATTGTTGCTTCTTATTCCTGATGTTTGGATTTCTTTTTCTTCTTTGCAGGCGTTGCTTCTTCAGCTTCTGCTGGAGACGCCTCAGTTGTTTCTTCGGGTGCTTCTTCGCCCTTTTGCTTCTTCTTCTTCTTCTTTTTCTTTTCAGATTTACTTTCTGTCTCATCAGCAGTAGCAGCAGCAGGCGTTGCAGGCTCCTCCTCCTCCGCCTGCGGCTCCTGCTTAACGGGTGTTTCAATTTCTGAATGTTTGCGTTTCTTCACATGCAACGTGTTATCCGCCTCCGGCTGATAGGTAAATACCTCGCTAAAATGGCAAATGAGAAAAGTGAGCAAAAAACGCGAACAAATGCTTTAAGAGTTGCTCATCTCCACAATCTTGGAACAAGTTAAAAACTCAGTCAGACAGCCAAGGTTTTTCTACATTGTGAATTTCAGCAAATTGCGAAACCTTTTGTGATCATCATATAGAGCTTTAACTTGACCAATGCTGATGGCAATATCCGGGGAATATACTAACCTCTTGGCCTGATATTTCTCGAACTTGGCCCTTGCCTTGCCGGTGCCGGAAAGTTTCCGCAGATTGCCTTCCTCGAGCAGACGCAATCGCGACTCCAGCTTGACTTTGTGTGTCGCGCCCAACTCAAATGACGCCTCCTCGCCGAATGCATCGACTCGTGTGGCCAGTGACGCCTTCGCCGCCAGAGAACGCGACATCTTGCCCTTGTTCTTCTGACTAGCTTGACCCACCAGTTGTGCATGATAGATGAGACCATATTTCGGCGTATCTTTCTTTGTTTTCAGGGCACGGAAGAGCGCCTTTTCAGCACCCAATATCTGAACCGTGGACGAGGGATGCTTGGCTAAATTGATGAGCGAACCAGCATGTGCAATAAGACGGGCGCCAACAGTGTCGCCAACGAGTACCGTCAGATTGGGTGCCATTGCCATCATGCGAGCCTTTAGGTAGTCATAGAGATGAATGCGATAGTCGTTGATGGAAATGATCTCGTCACACAGACACTGGATGTTAAGCACATCCTCGTCGCTGATCTCAGTGCCCATTGAAATTTCGGCTGCTTCTTTAACCTGCTGCTCCACATCTTCGGGCAGTATGTCAGACAAGTCGGCTGTCGCCATATTGTCCCTGGTGCCCACCAGTTTGATCGTCTTGACAAAAGCAATATTGTCGGTTATCAGTTTGCCCAGCTCTGGGAAGTGCCAGCCATACCATTCACGGGCGCGCATCATATAATTGTTAAGTTCTTTGTCCAGGTCATCCAGCAAACATTGCGCCTGCACAATCATCGTATCAATCTTGTCCGGCGAGAACTTCAGCTTGTAACGGGAGAGCGAATGGGCCAGACCCAGAGCCATAGCTGTCATTTCTCGCTTAGGCAGGCCACCCAGAAGACTATCCGCCTGCTGGCGTATGCAACGCATCAGTTCTTGCACGCCCGTATTGTAAACACACTGAACCGACAGCTTATCCTTGATGGCTGTGCCCAATTTTGCATCCGCCACCAGGAGGGATGCCTGCACATCGTCGACGAGCAGCTTCTTCAGTGTCTTCTTTAGTGGCTTTGATACTTTGCCCTCTACGGCCGCAGTGGCCGCAGCAAGCGCTTCTGTGGTATCATTGAATTTTTCAAAATGCTTCAACTTCAGCAATTTGTTCGCCTTTTCAGGTGTCTCAAATTCCAAGTACAAATTATCGACCTGTTCGAGTTTCTTTTCGTCGAGCAGTTTAAAAATTGCGTAGCCCGCCGGCGTTTCATATAATACAAACATATTGCACTTTTAGTGCATTAATTTAAGTTAAAAATTATTTTAGTCACGCAGCAGACACGAACTTAACCTTCTTTAGTCTAACGCCGCGTGTAAAAGAAAAATCCAAAATGAGGCGTGCAAACACGTGCGTCTGCACACGCCAGTGTTGCTCTTGCCGCACATATTACGATAGCCAGCCTACACACACTATCGATAAGTTTCTGTTATCATACAAAACGCGTGTTGTCTAGAGTTATGAATAAATTTAACAATTTTCATCTACAAAATGTGATTATAGTAACCACTTTACTTTACACACTATATAAATAGTTTAAAATTAACATACTTCAGTTACATTAGTATTGAAAAGCATGTTACCACAATTCGATAAAGCGCGCCTTTTTCCAAATCAAAATGTGTATGCACTGTTTTTTAAATCACCACCTTGAAATTCACCATGCTCAAACAATTTTAAATATGATATGCAGAGTCCATGCATATACATATGTATATATGTGTGTATACATACAATACAAAATTATGAATGAAATTGTCCACTAACCTGCGTCGTTGTCTAGCCTTCCGCTCGCGGCAATGGCGCGCAAAATGACCACGCATGCCGCACTCATAGCACTTATCGTCGCTACGACCGCCGCCGCCTCCTCGGTCACGTCCTCCTCCAAAACCACCACCGCCACCACCTCCTCCGCTGCCACCACCACCACCTCCACCTGCACCGGAACGAGCGTATTTTCCTGTGGATAATTCTACGCGAGCTCTGCGGCCACACAATGTACGTCCATCCAGGCCACGCACCGCGTCAGCTGCATCTCGGGCACTTTCGAACTCAACAAATGCGAAACCTGGCGGATTTCGTGCAATCCAAACACTGCGCAAACTGCCATAGGCACCAAAGACATACTCTAAATCGTTCTTTCGTGCGTTATTGCCCAAATCGCCAACATACACTTTCCGGTCGCTAGGATGCCGCGACATTTTCTAGCTTGGGTTTGTTGGTGGGCGCTGTGAAAATCGCAAGCAGCGCAGTGTAGCGCAGAAAAAATCGATTCGAGTACAAAACTTTCGCGTTTGTTGCCCTTGTCAAAAGCACATTCGGTTAATCCAAATCTTGATTGCTTATCATCACTTTATGTAAATATCTGTGACTTTCTGTTATTTAGGCACTATATTTATTTCGGCACAAAACTTTTTGCCGACTCGCAAAATGGTTGGGTGAGTGAACCAAACAGTGATGTTCACGAAACGAAGCACTAGTTCAAAAGTTCCTTTTTGTGAGGAGCAAAAAAAAAAATGTAAACAATAATTGAACTAGAGAAGAATTAGTGTGACCATACTTATTATATATAATTGTTTCTAGTGAGGTGAATTTCTACACTATCGATACTTTAAGGCCGGTCAATGTTATTCTTTCTTCGCGATATTTTTAAAGCTATTAAATTTACATTTTATAAATACGATATATTTTCCCATTAACAATAATAGATAATTTAATTTTCAAATTATATGGTACGACATAAATGAACGTTTATCATATTAACACAAGTCAGGGCTTCAATAACAGCTAGCAGGCAGTAAACAGTTTCAATGGCCATTCAAAAGAATTAAAACGTGTAACTACTTCAAATTAATGAGAGGGAGAGCTCTGATTAAATAAATATTGTTTGAATTTTGAAAACCAATATGAAATTGCACCCCTGACGCCTAGATTGATAAATATATAATGCAACCGTGAGTTGCCGATTGTAAGAGACTTGCGGTGAATTGTGAATGGCTACCACCATTAAACGTGGCGGTGGCGAGTTTTCTATCATAAGTTAGGTTATATATCGTATGCATCAAATCATACAATTATTTATAAGCTAGTTTTTTAAGGAAAAAACACTTAAATTTAGTGAATTTGCAGTGCGAAATCTTTAAAAAACCACAGACGAACACTTGGCACAAACGGTAAGCATGAACAACAACACAAATATAAATTTTACATAACGAATTTAGTGCTTTATAAAAAAACGAAGCCTATGCCTTTCTTTCCAAAATTAAATGTGCGACAGCAGCAGCTGCCTAGTGTATATATAGATTTGGTGTTTGTAATTATGACGGCCATAGGAGCGATTTGCGTTCATCATGAATATCGTTATTTATTTGTGTGTGTGTTACAAACTAATTTTTACTTCACATTTTCCTAATATAGTGGAAAATTTCATATTTTTATACATACGAAAAATGCTATGTATAACAGCACACTAACACATGCATACACACACAAGACACATCGGACATTCGCATACACACACATTAGTACAATACTCACACATCGACACGTGTGCGCTTGTAAGCGTACTTGCGTATGTATGTATGTATAAAAGATTGCGGTGCAAAATACAAAAATCATGCGAAATTTTAAAATTGCGTAGTAAGAAACCGCACTAATTTATCCGAGTTGTGGAAATGTTGAATATTGTGTAAATTTTGTGTGATATGCGCCGGTAGAATGAATACTTCAAATTTGCAAAAGTATTAAATATAAGAAGAAAAAATAGTTTATGTGGCATAGTTTCATTTTGCTCGCATTTGTGTCTTTTCAAATCAGTTCTTCAGATTTCTTTGTTGAAGCATTTTTGTCGTCACCGACAAGTCTTCCATTTTGTTTTTTTTTTTTTTACTGCCGCCGCGCCGCTACTGCTGCTGCTCGTGGTGAATTTCTCGCACTTCATGCAACTTATTGCGTTTGTATTTAGTTCTTGTAATTAAGCATCATTGACGCGTAACAGCGTACATTTTGGTTTTATTTTATTTTATGTCGTGCGTATAGTGTATATACATATATATTTGTTCATATGTATATTTTGAGGGCATTGCTTTTTGTATCTTTCCTTTCATTTTACATTCGCTTTCACATCGCACATGGCGTTGCCACATGGGTTTCAAAATATTTCTTTTTCATACCAAACGTACGCATGTAGCTACAGTCTCGCAAACACTGTTTAAATAGTTTCTGCACACTTTGTTGACTTATAAAATAATATCGTGAGTGTTTTCTTCTAAATATTGACATCATTTTTATTAATGAATGTATGTATGTTTATTGATAGATGTAGTGGTACATAGTATGGTCCTTTTTTTCGCCAAGCAAATCGTGTGGCAAACTAGAACAAATGGCGCGCAAATGTGGTGAGCCGGCACTTTGCTTTACGCTTGCCCTGCTGTCCGTCATTCTGTTTTCACCATTTTTACCTTGAGAAAAAAGTTCGTTGTTCTCACAACTATTCGATAGGCACTTGTGGTGCGTATGTGTGTATGACGATGGACGTAGGTGTGTGTGAATGTAAAATGAATGACGCTGTGGCTATAGCTGGGACATTGCAACGATAACTCTACGTTAGCGCATGTTGTTACACGGCGAAAAGAAACGTTAAAAAAGAAGAGAAAATGCTAGTAGCAGTGTGTAAAAAGACAAAACGGCAATCAATGACCAGCGCGCTTTAAAACCACATGAGAGCAAGCGGAGCGTTGCAAACGCCGAACAACTTGTGAACGTGTACAAAAAGCAGTTAGACGGCAAGAGAATAGAGTATACATATATATGTATATGTATTCATGCTTACATGTATGTGTATTCAAGTATGTATGAGTACCGGCCGGTTGCCGCAGCGCTGCTGCTCTTTACCTGCCTTTCATAATAATTTGTGCCTATTTTAGCTGCTTTCTGTACATACATATGGTACTAATGTATGTGTCAATGCTTTCATGGCTATGTGTGTGTCTGTTTTATTGCTGTCATCCGTTCTCTCGTCCAATGTGGCCAGAGTTAATTAAGATTTAGTTTTAACTGTTGGTATTTGTTATACTGATCTGATTTACATTTTTTTTCTTTACACATAAAAACAACTTCCGCATATACCGACACATGGACATCGCATCGTTGTTAATAATTAGAAAGTTACGTGTAAACGTCGTGGCTTTTGTTTAATTATTTTGAATAATAAACATATAAAAAATATATATATAAACTTTGGCAACTAAAACCAATCCCAAAACACACAAGCAACAACAACAACAGCAACTAGTGTAAAATTCAAAGTGTAAACAAGAAGCTACAACAAGCGACAAAACACAAACGGACACCCGGCAACATTTTCAAGTCCACAAGTGCAACATAAACAGCAGCAAAATTACGTCAATTATTGAAAATCTACCCGGCGCAATAGCTCACAATCATCAAAACAACATCATGGAAGAAGACGAGAGGGGCAAATTATTTGTTGGCGGCCTGTCCTGGGAGACAACGCAGGAGAATCTGTCTCGTTACTTCTGTCGCTTTGGCGACATTATCGATTGTGTCGTTATGAAGAACAATGAGAGTGGCAGATCGCGTGGATTTGGCTTTGTTACCTTCGCCGATCCCGGAAATGTTAACCATGTTCTTCAAAGTGGACCGCATACACTCGACGGACGCACGATTGATCCGAAGCCCTGCAATCCTCGTACGCTGCAGAAGCCGAAGAAGGGCGGCGGCTACAAGGTGTTCCTTGGCGGTTTGCCATCGAACGTGACGGAGACCGATCTCCGCACGTTTTTTGGTCGCTATGGCAAGGTCACCGAGGTGGTCATCATGTACGATCAGGAGAAGAAGAAATCACGTGGATTTGGTTTCTTATCTTTCGAAGAGGAGGCCTCCGTGGAGCATGTTACCAACGAGCGTTACATCAATCTGAATGGCAAGCAGGTGCGTATTTGTAAATTGTAGACATATAATTAAGGGATAAGATTTTCCTATATCGATAGAAGAGTTAATTTAGCAAATAGTAGCGACGATTTTAATAATACCAGTTTTATTCATTACTGCTGTAATATAGTATAGTATGTATGTTAAATATAAAAATGTAACAAAAAAAAATGTAATTTTTAAATATGATTTTGAAAGGTTTAAGTCTAGATTACCAACAGAAAACTGATATCGTGATCACATTACAAGTATATGACATATAAGAACATTGAAGTTGAATGCACACTGTAAAAACAGACTGACAACTGTTTTATAAACTTATTCTGATAAAGAAGAAATGTATATAAAATAGCATGACAATGGTGACAATTTGTATAAAGAACATAGTTATAAATTATGTAGAGCGTAATATACTTAGGCTTTAACTGTCATTTTGTCAAAAAATTTGGTCTTAATATGATTGTGTGTTTTGCAGGTGGAGATTAAGAAAGCTGAGCCACGCGATGGTTCCGGTGGACAGAACTCGAACAACAGCGCTGTGGGTGGTGCCTATGGCAAGTTGGGCAACGAGTGCAGCCACTGGGGACCACATCATGCGCCCATTAACATGATGCAAGGCCAGAACGGTCAGATGGGTGGCCCACCATTAAACATGCCGATTGGTGCGCCCAACATGATGCCCGGTTATCAAGGCTGGGGTACTTCGCCGCAGCAGCAGGGCTATGGCTATGGCAATAGCGGCCCGGGTTCTTATCAGGGTTGGGGAGCACCACCCGGTCCCCAGGGACCACCACCGCAATGGTCGAACTATGCTGGACCCCAGCAGACCCAAGGATACGGCGGCTATGACATGTACAACTCGACTTCGACTGGAGCACCGTCGGGACCATCGGGAGACGGCAGCTGGAGTAGCTGGAATCTGCCACCCAACTCGGGTGGGCCAACAGGCGCACCAGGTGCTGGCGCCAGCGCCGGCACGAACATGTACTCGCGTGCCCAGACATGGGGAGCGGGCGGACCATCGACCACTGGGCCCGTGGGCGGCATGCCGCGCACTGGACCCGGCAACTCGGCCTCCAAGTCTGGATCCGAGTACGATTATGGCGGCTATGGCTCTGGCTCCGGCTACGATTACGATTATAGCAATTATGTTAAGCAGGAGGGCGCATCCAACTACGGCGCCGGTCCGCGATCAGCTTACGGCAATGACAGCTCTACACAGCCACCGTACGCCGCATCGCAGGCCGTCTAAGGAGCCAGCGCCCGCGTGTTGTCTCGTGTCATCCTGCGGCCCCCAAGAGGTGAATGATGAAGATGACAAAAAGATGGTGGTAATTGTAAGCTAAAGCGTCGTCTGTTCGTTTCATATTTTTAAAAGATAATTTTTATTTGAGATCAGTTGTTGAAATTAATTAATGTAATTCCTGTGTACACAACAAATAATTTAAAAACATAATTTAACACACACACAAACAACAACACAAAATCAGCTTGAAAGCAAAATCCCTAGCAAAAAAGAAGGCAGGTACATAGATTTATATATAATATATATATATAAATATATATGTATGTGTATGTAAATGTATGTATCTATTATATACATGTACATATACATACGTATAGATATAAATATATATGTATATATTTTATAGCGATGAGTATGTAAAAATTCATAGGCAACAACAAACAAACAAAAAGCACTCAACTCAATCCAGAGCAAAAAAAAAAAAACATTTTTCATGCGTTCCCCCGCCCCTTCTTGACAGTCGTATATTTATATATGCACTGATTCCTGTCCCTCCCTATTAACAATAACAATCCAACTAAAATTACAAATACATGCATATTGAAAACAAAAACACGAAATTAATAATAATAATAATGATAGAATTGTGAAGATATAAAAGTATAAAGATTAGCCAATTAGAGACACAAGAGAAAAGTGTACGGAAAACCAAGAAAAGAAACTTAATATTAAAAAAAGAAAGAAAAGAAATTATAAGAAATTATACATAAAAACAAAACACATCCCCTTAACTACTAAAATTAGTAAATACAAATTCGAAATTGTACATTTAAATTGACTAGTTGGCAAAAAAAAAAAAAAAAAAAAAACGAAGTAAATGAAAAAGCAAAGCGCATCAGGCCCATGTGTCGCGCCTCTAGCTTGAAGCAAACAAGCAAGCAATTTGGCGACAAGGCGTAGCAGTAGAATAACAGTAGAAAAAACAATTATACAGGAAAAACATAAACAACTTATCTATATACAAACAGTTAAGAGTATGGACAGCAGAGCTGCTTGCCTTAGCCAATGCGTCTGCTGTGGCTTATTGCGAGCGTGGACGGAGGCGTGGCACATTTGTTTCGGACGAATTTGGGCGCTGAACAGCAACAGCAACAAGAGAGAGAGAGAGAGCAACAGCAAGAAAAGGGAGAAAAACACGTTACAAAATTTATAAATCTACCATTTAAAAGTAAAGTAAACACAACTAGCTAAAAGTTAAACTACATATATAAAGAAAACCTAATTAATAAGCATATGTCGTATGTCGTTTGCATGTAAGCGAAAGTTGAACTTGAAACTAGAATTATATAATGTTGGAATTATTATTTAGTTAAAGAAAAACGGATTGAGAGAACCGCTAATAACAGCAGCAAGAGCATGATTCACTAATACTGAAAGCTATAAAAGAAATACAATACAAAACGCTCTAAACAATTAAACATAAAAACAAAACAAAACAAACAAAAAAAAAAACGGAAAAAGAATAAAAGAAAAAAACTATATACATACTGATATACATCTATATATATGTATATAAGTTTATAAACATAAATTTAAACTACAGTTAAAGAAGCAGCATAGTAAACAAAAGTCATAAGAGAAAATAGATAAAGTGAGAGAAAGAGAAAAACGATGCTTAGAGTTGCGTTGCACATTTTTTTTTAATTTTCATCGTTTGCCAAGCAGACAACAACAATTAGCACGTGTATACATGAGTGTGTGTGTGTGTGTGCACTCGGCAAACTGCTACCCACACACACGTACACACATTCAGACTCACGTATATATATACACAAACACACACACACGCGCGAAGGAGAACATGAGAATTGCATATATTATTGATTATATACATACATTTATATATAAATATATATATATATATATTTCTTTAATTACTTTATATATATTTTTTACTCTTAACATACAAACATGATCATTTGAATATGTTATGTAAACAAAAACAACAAAAAGTAAACTAATTTTTAAATAATTGCGATTTTACAATATATTATTATTACATATTACAAAAACCTTACGTACATATATATATATTTATATATATGTATATGCTTATTTACTCTAATAGATACATTTATACTTACATATATACATATATACAAATATGAAGTAATATTTCTTTGCTATTACAAACTACAAAACGTAATTTTTAATTTGTTGATTACGCGATCATTTTACAATTACAATATACAATACAATGCATACATATTACCGCATACATACATACTACATACCACATACATATATACCTTACTTTATTTTTCGGTGATTTATTGCATAATGTGTTTTTTTTTCGTCTAATTTTTACAAATCTATTTAGCAAGCCAATCCTACAATCATAAATTCCTAATTTAATTTCGTTTAAATTACAAATATACATATAAACATATGCTTAAATTTTTTTATATAATTATACATTTAAAACAATCTTTAACAAAGTAAACTAACGTAAACAATGCAAAAACTACACAGTAAAAGTTAAAACTAAATCTAAAAAAAAATAAGAAAAAAGAAAAGAGAACAACAAAGTAAAATGGAACGTATGAAAAACGTTTGAAATTTTGAAAAAAAAAAAATAACAAAAAATTTGCTTTTGTTTTCCTTTAATGTTTAAATTAAACTGCAGCAAATGTGCTGCGCTGCCGTTCGTACGTGTGTGAGTCTCGGCGAGAATGGTTGTCTATGTATGTGTGTGTGTTTTTGTGTGTGTACATGTCTAATTGTATGTTGTATATAAAAGAAAGAAAAATCAAACAAACGATAGAAACGAAAAAGCACGGCGCTTGGCAAGCGGGACGCACGCGTGGCGTTGTTGAAGATTTGTTCACAGTTGAGGAACAGAAGTTCGTTTCATTTCCTTTCCGCTTGTAATTCTTTGTAATTTCTGTATTTTTTCCAGCAGGCAGCGTCAACAGCAGCTACCATCAAGAGCAAGAACAAGAGAAACAGTAGCACTAACTAACACAATGAATAACGGCAGCAAAAGCTGCTGTACAACAGCAACAACAACGTATCAGGCTTAACCTAGACATTTAAAACCGTTATATGGCATGCATGCATACAAGCGTGCATGTGTGTGTATATTTATGAATATGCACACTTAATTGAGTAAAAAAAAAAAGAAACGAACACAAACAACTACAACTAATATTAACAATTGGTCAAATGCAGTTAAGAGAAAACACCTGATGTAATTTTATAAGCAAAACATTATTATTATTATTATTATTCTGAGTAATGATCATTGCATACTTACATCTACATATATATCTACAAATATCTTTTGTTTATTACCAAGACACACTTTTTTCATACAGAAACTGTTAAAAAGTTTACAGAAAGGAAACAAAAAAATCTAAAAGTGATGTTTAACAATTTGAAATAAGTAATGGTAAAATTAATAACTAATTCAAGGAAATACATATACATAAATAGTTAAAGCAAGGTTTAAAGTTATGGAAAATGTAAAAAATTATTAAAAAAACAAACAAAAAAAAAACACTGACTGTTAATTGTAAAACAATTTCTTTTTAATCCGTACGATTTATGATTTAAAGTTAAAAACAAAAATTTTTAAATAAAAACCTAATAAATGAACTACATATATATGCATCTAAACGTAATTACAACTACTATATACAATTATATATATACATATATATTACTATATACATAAATATATGCGTAAATATATCAATTTAACAGTAAAAAATAAATCTAAATATTGTACTAAAAAAAAAAAAAAAAAAAAAAAAAAAAAAAACAAACAAACTATGCAGATAAACCATACAAAAGATGCAAAAATTCACTTCAGTAAATGATCAGAAGAAAAATGAGGTTTAGATTTAATAAGGATATTGTTGTAGCATATGTCCGTACATAAGAATCAAGGACTATATATATATGTGTAAACGCATATAATATTTGAACCTGTTTGTTTTTTTTTTTTATTCGTTTTTGTGTTTTCATTTCGTGTATTTGGTTTTGGTTTTTATTTCGTTTCTATATATTAGTGAATCGGAAATATATACAGATATATATCTATATGGCATATATGTATCCATATTATTTTTGTTTTCTTTGTTTTTACAGATTGTGGAATATAGGCACAGTACAGAGAAAAATTGATCTAAATATTTGCTTTTTCTTTTTCCATATTGATTTCTGTTTTGGGTTCTCGAGTTGTCTTTTAAGATTTGTTATATAAATAATATAACTCTGCTTCAAATTCGTCGATTTTTAGATTTGATAATGAAAAGAGATCTAAAAATTAAGCAAAAAGTAAAAAACTTAAGAACAATGCGCCAAAATGCAAAAGCTGCAAGAAATTATATAAAAAGAAAGAAGAAACTGCGAAATCTGAGAAATAGAAAACAAGAATAAATATGTAAACTTAGAATATCCAATGTAAAGTCCGTTGAATAAGTATGGTTATAGTTTGGGTTTACAATTCTCGACTGGTATCTCATAATAATAGTTAAGCTAAATGAAAGTAAGATTAAATATTCGTTTTTTTCTTTTCTACCCGAAACAAATTTTCTTGATAAACTATAATGATTTGAAATAAGAGTGCGAAAAAAGATATAGCAGTTATCTAAGCTAAATTCCTAAGACAAAAACGATTCCACCTAAGACACCTTTTGTAATGACTAAATTTATAGACAAAAACACACAATAATAATAATAGTAATAATAGTAATGATAATGACAGGCAGAGATTGATGTTAGACTTAAAGATGAACATGAAGAAACAGCACAACCACTCAAAACTTGGTAGCAGATTCAGATCTTCAGCACTGACTGCGCGTGTGTGTGCGCATATACTTTGTTCTCGAATTGATTTCGAGGCGTGTTATATGATATGATATAATATATGATGCATATAAGTCGATTTGAAGATTGTTATACTGTGAAAATTATTTCTTACATAGACTCGCATTTTAATTCGTTTTGATTTTTCACTCTGGATTTCAATTTTTTCATGAGGTATGTATGTGTATATCTATATATGGTATACAAATTAATTTAAAGAAATAAGCCGAAAAAAAAAAAAAAATTAAACAGTAAACAACCGTAATTTGTATGTAGTTTAAAAATAATAATAGACATGAGAAAAACCCGAAAAAAATGAGAAAAAAAATATGCAAAATAAAACCAAAAATTGAGACTGTTAACAAATGCAACAAATGAAGCAGAGAATAAGATGAAAGTAAAGCTTAAACTAAAATAACTCTTAACTCGTAATACAAGAAAAAGAAAAAAAAAAAAAAAAAAAAAAAACAAACGAAGAAATCTAAGAAATCTCAGATGAATAGGCTACCTATATAAGTTCGTCTAAGGAAAAAGAGCAGAGACAACAGCAACAGAAGAATTTTCCAATTTTTTTTGAATAGTTTTTGTTTTACTGCTTATTCGATTCTATATATATATATATACATATATAGATTTATATATGCTATAAATGCACTCCATTTTTGTCAAAATATTCGAGTTCTTTTTTTTAAAGAACTTTTTGTTCACTTTGCATTAGAAATACACACAGCCACATACATATATACCTATACCTACATCCACACACACACACACATCTACACTAATTTTTGTTAACTGTGTATGTATAATGTATGGCTAAAGGCGCGACTAAAAGTTTTTTAGGTACTAAAAATACATATATAACTGTTTTTATTTATGATAACTAAGCGTTAATTACGACAAATGTAAGGCAGGCTAAGCGAATACTTTTAGCTGTAGCTGTAGCTGTAAACTGAACAGTTACACACTTACATACATACATATAGTTATAGCATGTAAAGCAGTTGTAACGGTATTTTTAGACATTTAAGTGTTGCCAGATGTGTGAAGTGTTTGATCATTCCGGTTTAGCTGCTGGGCTTTAATAATACAAACAATATGTATTTAGTTAAACTTACAAGATTTTACGTATCACACACACACACACATACACTCATACACTTATAGAGAAAAAGCTATACATACATATTATACGAAATGTATTTTTTTTTTTAATTTATCTTGTTTTACTTTTTCTAGACTTTTCTACTTGTACTTTTTAGAGATAACAAATTAGGAACCGAACCTGTAATGAGACAGACAAGTTGCATACATACATAGAAATACAAAAAAAAAAAAAAAAAACATAAACAAGGAAAAATATTAAAAATACGAAAAAAAGCGAAACGAAAAAGTAAAAAAAGCTAAGGAAACATAAACTACAATGGAAATTACATACATACATATAGTGCGAAAAAGACAGAGACAGAGTTAGATTTGCAAGGTTTTAGTTTACGGTAAACTTAATGAAATTTTTTACAATGTATTTATACATACCTAAATTTAAATTTTTAATTAATTTTTTAATGTAATACGAACACAGTGCCTAAGTAATATCAAAAAACAAAAAAAGTAAATGAACAAAAATCTGTCAAAAAAGAAAACATTGTTAATAAACACTACAACAAACAAATAATAATAATTTATAAAAGCAAAATTTTAAATGAATATAAAACATAATTAGAGAAAAGCAAAGAAAACTTAAGCAGAATACATAT